TGAAAGAATTCAGTTTCCGTGTAATTATTTCGGGCATAAGCTAGCCACTGCGGGTGGCCGGGTGCCGGGGACGCAGCCCCGCTGCTTCTTATTTCAACAGATGGCGCCCAGACGTGATGGGCTAAATCCACTTAAAAACCTGAGAAGGCTTAAAAATAAGGGAAACAGAGTTTAACACAGAGTTTTGCTCTCTGTTGGTGGCGTGCCATAAAGAGATTTCCTGATTCAGCAATAGCAGCAGAAAAAAAGCTGCGTCATTTTAAAGCGCGGCTTCATAGGGCTGTACTGCCAGCGTGAACTCTGGCTTTAAAGCATTTCAAGGCTTTTATGGGACTGGATGTTTGTGTTCCCCCTGGGATCGGAGGAGAGTGCTCTGAGACCGTGCAGATGGCTCAGCGCTCCCCGCCTGCACCTGGGCAGAAGGCAGAATCAAGCTTAGGCAGGCGGAAGAGCATGGCGGATTCCTGCCGCCATACAGAGACGCGTTTTCAGACTGCGCAGTGCTCTGCATGTCAGATTTGGCTGTAACTTGGATGAAAAGAGTTTCTGTGCTGCACACTCAGTCTCAGAATTAAACTGCTGATTGCGGCTCCAATGTGAACTGCTGTGTGCCTGGAACTGTGCTCAGCTCAGAAGCACCAAATGACTCTGAGGCAGGAGCGGCTGCTCCATGCTGAACTGTGCTGATCTCAGGCAGGAACTACCGTAATTACCTTAAAACCGTGCAGTTAAGGTTTAGACTGGGCAGGACACAGGCAGTACCGTATTACCTGTAAATGGTGCAACTTAAGTTTTTAAGAAATGCTTAACATTTTAAGAAATGCTCCTGTATAGTAAAGAAATTACAGATTCACAATAAAACAGATTCAGACACTGTTGGATAAATGTACGTAGGCTTGGGAAAGAGAAGAAAAAGAATATAAAGAATAAAGTTAATGTCTTAAAAAGAAAAAGGGTAAAGTCTTTAAAGAGACAGAGTACAGAAGTACAGAGAGTTATAGATTAAAAGAAATAAAGAAAAATAAGCCACGTAAAAATGGAAAATTCACAGAGAGTCTGGATTATGTACATTGTGTTTTCTTTAAAATTTTTGACTGTGAAGGAGCTAAGTACAGAGAGACATTTCATTACATGGGCTGCCAAGCTAAACCAAAATGGATATAAGGGTATTACGATTTCAAAATTTGGGTCTAAGGATATGATGCTTTGGAGAGGGTCTTCTTTTGTTTTTGCAGAGGATGAGACCCTGTGGATTGCATCTATTCCGATTTGGTATGATAGACCACGCCCTCCTGAAAGGTTGCTGTGAACACCCTCAAAAAATTGCTTCGCTCAATTGCCAACTGAGATGAAACTAGCATACAGGTTATATCATGAACAACCTAATTAACGACGCCCCTATTCAGCAGGAAGCAGTTTGGAGAGAAAAAACTACGCCCATGTTCCCAAATATTGTTTATAAATGTTCTTTTACATTTAAAGGGGGATATGATATAGATATGAATAATTTGCATTGGTATGGATTTTAAGGTCAATTTTGTTATATGTATATGTATTTTTGATCTTGATTAAGGTATTGTGATTGTGTAGTTCATTTAAAAATGTAATGTATAATTAGGAAATATAGGTTGTTAATGGATAATCATCGCTAATACTTAAGCTTGTAGTCATGTTAGTTAGATTTTCTAGATATATAGAGAGATATTTTAGTTAGATAGGCATTCTTCATATCTTTCAAAGGCTGCAGAATATGGCATTTAAGATATTTTAATAACTTAGGGTTTTTCATGACAATGAGACACATTTGCTCCTGGCAGCACCAATCTATTTCAAGAGGAAGATGGGCATCGAAGAGAATCCTTATGGAGTTTGATAGCCATTTGGGCAAGAAACTGCTCTTGCCTGGACTGTTGCATAAACTGGACACAGAGAACCCGCAGAGAGAGGACTGCTGAACTTGCCTAAAGGTGAGATGACCTTTTGGGGTTCCTGCTTCATGAAAGAGTCTGTGAGACATTCTGCAGGACACAGCAAAAAGTGACTGAACTGTCTTTGGAATTTCTTGCTTGATGAGAATGTCTGCTGGATACTATGGGCCTGTAGGCCGAAGATGGATGCCCCAACGGTACAGAGGAACTTTGGGTGACTGTCCAGGCAGCGAGATGTCTCTGTCATTTCTAGAGTTTTCTTATTTCTTGTTTGATAGGTAATATTATATCCTTCTGGAGTCTTTGATGGAGTTGAAGAATGGTTAGTTATAGTTTTCCTTAGTTATGATAAGAGATAAAATAGATATAAATATTGTAACTGTAATTCTTACTTGATAACTGTTTTGTTATATGTAATTTTACTATGTTAAAGTTAAAGCCTTTCTTTTTTGTTTAAACAGAAAAAGGGGAAATGATGTGGGAGTGATTTCTTATTAATAAAGAAACTGCCTTGGCCCATTTTATTGGATAGAAAATTAGGTAGGCGGAGTAGACAGAGGAGAATGCTGGGAAAAAGAAGCTGTGTGAGGAGTCGCCATGGTTCTCCCGCTCCAGACAGACGCAGGTTAAGATCCTCCCTGGTAAGCCAGCTCGTGGGCTACACAGAATATTAGAAATGGGTTAGAACAATATGTAAGAGCTAGCCAATAAGAAGCTGGAACTAGCCGGGCCAGGCAGTGTTTGAAAGAATTCAGTTTCCGTGTAATTATTTCGGGCATAAGCTAGCCAATGCGGGCAGCCGGGTGCCGGGGACGCAGCCCCGCTGCTTCTTATTTCAACACAAACCAATCATTCCCTCAAAAACATTCTTATCGCTCAGCTGGTAGGGTCCGGAGACTGCTCACCAGAAGACTATCAAAAAGAAAAATACCTATCCCTATCACACCAAAGTCAATGGAAAGAACACCTGTCCCCTGTGCTTGCTTCCTCTATGATCAGATTAAAGGTTCCTGTCAACGCTGGCCAGAAACCTATGGAGGCTGTCCTCATTGGTCCTGTAAAAGACATGATGCACATTTAGGAAAACACTCTGCCGTTTATGAAGAAGGGGGAACCTTTTATATCCCAATTAAGAATCCATGGTACCCCAGAAGGGAAATGAGAATCATTGAGAAGCTCTATGATAGCATTTACCGCAGCCGCTATCAGGAATGCTCAAAATACAGAGGGTACACATCCCACTCTCTCAACCCCACAGTAGAAGAAGTGGTCCAAAGCTTCTCAAAGCTTCTCACATCCTTAATAATCACCATTATTGGACCCCAGATCCCTGTCACAACATCTAATTTCAAACCCTGACTACTAATATCAGCTGCTGAATAACACTCAGCATGACCTCTTTTGGGGAATGCTGGTTGTGTGTCCCTCCAGAGTCAAGGCCTCACCCATTAGATTCTCTCCCCTTACCACTTGTTAATTCCTCCAAGACAAATGTCACTCACTACCACCCCTTATCTTTCTCATATTCCTCTCTTGGGCAGTACAAACTGCTTTAATTCCTCAGGAACACACTTTGTGGGCATTTTGGATTCTAAAACCTACAATAATACCATGACCCTTGGTACTACCACCTAGCCCCTATGTTCAAAGATTCATAATGCATCTATTCTCTGTGATACTCTGCTTACCTGCTAGGTGGTCTGGGACTTGTGCCATAGTGTTCCCCTTCCCTGAATTAGGGGTGGTTCCTGGTGAAGAACCCTTGTCAATTCCCATCGCCAAGTTCATAGCTGCATGGCATGGCATGGCAAACGAGCAATCCAAGTAATACCCTTTCTAGCAGCCCTGGGCATAACTGCAGCTGCAGCCACTGGAACAGCAGAACTGACTGTTTCCCTAGCCATTTACCATTGCTTTCCTCAGAATCCATCCGGAATTTCCAACAGGTAGCTCAGACTGTCCTTACTCTTCAGGGACAAATGGACTCACTAGCCACCATAGTACTACAAAACTGGAGAGGATTAGATTTCAAAATCTAGCCAGTGGATCACTAATAGTCAGATATGGTACTGGATGCTACCCTTCCTAACCCCTCTTTCCTTATTTCTCTTAGTTCTACTGATTATGCCCTGTCTCATAAACCTCTTGCTATATTTCTTCGACAACAAATCCAGAAGATTTCTAACCAGACTTTGAACAAGTTACTATTGCAGGATTACCAGCCTACAGCTACATAGCCAGGGCCTGTGCATCCCGTTATATCCCGGGGATGAAGATCAGGATTGTCCCAAGAACTTCAATGCCCCAATGCAGCAGGAAGAAGTCTCATGAAAACATTGCCCCCTTCTAATCTCTGTTATTTATTAACAAATAAAAAGGGGGGATGCAGGGTAAAAGGGACAACTGGAACAGGAAACCAACCAATCCCTCAGCACCCTGACTCTGAACCCAGAGCTGGTGAGAAAAACACACCTTGGATTTGAGACCTGGGCCAGGAAAGAAACCTCTTTATTCCTGAACCCAGGACTAAAGACATGCGCTCTGACTCTGAACTAGTGTCAAAGAAACACACAATGTCCCTGGAATCAGAGCCAGACAAAGAAATATGCCCTGGTCCTAAGATTAGAGACACCAGTCTGACAGTAGGGGGAACTAGGCCCACTGAATGTGGGTGGCAGTTGGATGGCTGGGGCAGACTGTAGGGCAGACTGTAGGGCAAATGGCAGTGAGAGCAAGATTTATCTCTACTGCTTGTACTGACTTTTTGGAACCCATTCTCTTTGTAGGGATACTTTGCTCAGCCTAGGTAGTGGGGAGAGCAGCGGTCCTGCCTCAAAGCAATGTGCTAGACTTTGTTGACTTCCCATGGGAAGCCTTACACTCTCTGGAGTGGATGGGGAATGGGGTGGGAGGATGTTGGAGGGAGCAGGAGGAGGGGAGGCAGAGGGAACTGGGATTGGTATGAAAATGTTAAAACGTAGGTTTTTTTCAAATAAATAAAAAAGGAAAATTTGTTATTCAATTCCTATAGAAACAAAGCAGCTAGAATTCAGCAAAGAGCTTCATACTTACTTCCAAAGACCCTACATGTGTAGCAACCATCTCTAAAAGATGCAGTAAGTCGTGTCTCACTTTTCCCCTTTCTTCAGTTATGCTTTGTAGAACCAGTTGGTATCTACAGAATTAAAATAAAAAGAAACCAATTGTTTAATATCTAGAAAATAAATGAATAAATTAGTACAGTGTAGTAACCTAAGCAAAATGCAAGTTTTGCATTTATATATGTTACTACTTTCCCTGAGAAATATTTGGTGGACATAGAAAACCATGCCTGGCTGTAAGTGGTGGCACATGCTTTTAATCCCAGCTCTCAGGAGGCAGAGATGGGTGGATATCTGTGAGTTTGAGGCCAGCCTGATCTATAGAGCGGAGTTCCAGGACAGGCTTCAAAGCTACAGAGAAACCCTGTTCACCCTCACTACCAAGAAAACCATGCCTGGTAGAATCCATTGAAATGCCATTATGTAAGCACACAGATCACCCACCAGGTGCTTTAGGTCACTTGATGCTATGACCCTCCTCTAATAGTGGCATAAGGTATCTTAACTTTTTGGCTTAAATCCTTGAAATATCATTCTTTGCACCCCAAATAGTTTCATAATAGGTATTAAAGATAAAAAACAGGAAGCAGCTTTACAAAGTTTAAATAATCAGATCTTGGTGAGGTGAACTTACTCCTGCTGGACAGCTTCTAGCTCATCCATGGCTTCACTGAGGTCCTCGTTCACAGTACTCTCCAGTAGGTGCTTGTGTTTCTCCAGGGATTCAAGCTCCCTGGCACACTTCTCATCTTGTTCCTCAGCCTCCTACAAGAGAAAAATTATTTTTTCATTCATATTCCATTTGCTAATGGTGGATTTAAGTAAAGTAGGTTAAGCATTAAAAACAAACAAAAAACAAGAAACCAGAATATTGCATCATTTATATTTCCAAGATGTTGACTGCCTTCTTTAAATGTTCCAGTGGGGACTCCATATGATAAACACAAATGTGCCCCTCCAGGAAGATTCTGTGTAGCACTCTATTTAACAATGGTTCAAATCTAATTTAAGGAAACCTGGTACTTTGATTAAAATTCCACATACATATAAACTATGTTAAGCAAAATTAGTTCCAGTCATTCTCAGATTCCTAGGTTTGTGATGCTGAAGTATGGACTTACAAAGTCTTTCACTTGAGTGCTTTCAAGAATAAACTTAACCTTTCATGCAAGGAATATGATAAAAGTAAAAATAATAGGCATATATTTCAAACTTCACATGCAGATCAGATTTTGTGTTACAATTTCCAAAACTTCTACACTGCTCATAAAGCATCCTGTATATAATATAGGGCAATACAATCGTTTTTATTTGTGATACTTTGCAGGTATAACTAATAATTGCACAGTTGCAAAACTTATTGTATGATGGCCCATGAATGGGGTCTCAATGCCTGTCTGGGAAAATTCAGGGTTGATAGAACAGTGGCAGTCAGTCTTCCACCTTACCTGCCTTCTGGAGCTCTTATGAATAGACCGAAATTGAGTTGGGAAAGTAAGTTTGCAATGATTTTTTTCAAGACTTATTTATTTATTATGTACATAGTGTTCTGCCTGCATAACAGAAGAAGGCACGAGATCTCATTATAGATGGTTGTGAGACACTATGTGGATGCTGGGACCACAATGGGACAATGGAACTCAGGGGCACTGGGAGAGCAGCCAGAGCTCTTAACCTCTGAGCCATCTCTTTAGTCCTTTGCAATGATTCTTAATGGACAATTACTTATACCCAGGTGGGTCTCAAACCTGTGCCAATCATCCCATGGGGTCTTCTAAATGTTGGGACTACAGGTATGATGACACCACACCTGGATTTTTTGGCTGAGTTTTGAGGCCTCCTCTTAGCTCTTGTATACCACCACATCCAGCTAAGATTTCAGACTCGAGTCAGATGATCACACCGGTCCAGCTCCTACCTTCACAGTTTGTTGGTAAAGGTCGTCCAGCTTTTGCACCTCTTCCTTCAGCATCCTCACATTTCTCCTGCTCTCCGTCTTAATGGTGTTCATCTTGACAGACATCAAAATTAACATTTAGCCTTATAAAACTTCTATACTTGCTTTTGTGCATATTTATTGTGTATGTGAGTGCTTTGTGAGCATGGGTATGCCTGGTGCCCGAGGAAGTAAGAGGGAGCCAGATTCTTTGAGACTGGTGTCAACAGATGGTTGTAAGCTGCCATGTGGATGTTTGGAATCAAACCTGGGCTCTTTTCGAGAGCAACAAGTACTCCTAACTGATGAGCACCTCTCCAGTCCTTGTTTGTCTTTAAAGAAGTACTATGTTTTTAAGATTCTATTTTATGTGTAAGAGTGTTTTGTATGTACGTATTTATGTATATGTATGTATGTACACCATGTGCATACCAGGTGCCTATGGAGTCCAGAAGATGACATCAGATACCTTGGAATTATAGCTATAAGGGATTGTGAGCTGCCATATGGGTGCTGGTAACAATCTGTGTCCTCTGCAAGAGCGGCAAGTGCTCTTAATCATGGAGTCATTGTTCCAGCCCTAGCAGCTACTTCATTTTTTTCTTTAAACCCAGATGTCAAAAAATACATTAGGAAAGAGTCTCTAACAGATGGTGCTGAGAAAACTGGGTATGTACCTATAGAAGAATGAAATCAGGTCTCAAGTCTCACACTACATGAAACATTGAAAATAGATCAAAGACTTCATGTAAAGACAGAACATGCTGAAACTGCAGGGAAGACACATCAACTATGTCCTGTGTCAACAATCATCCTATGCAGAGGCAGGAACTTCTGAATGGACTGTGACAGCAGAGAACACAACCCAAGGACTGACACATGGGATTATAGCAAATCAAAAACCTGCCTAACAATGGAAGCAACCTCACAACTGAAGAGACAGCTTACAGATTTGCGGAATCATTGCCAACTCTGTATCGGATAGGGGTCTATTATGTAAAAACAGCCAAGATTAAACCAAATCCAATCCATACATGAGGTAATGAAGTGAGCAGTTCATCCTCAAAGGAAGAAATAGAAGTGGCCAATGATATTTGATGATGGGTTCAACATCCTAAGCTGTTGTAATAGGAGCGGCGGGGCTGCGTCCCCAGCACCCTGGCCGCCTGCTAGCTTATGCCCGAAATAACAACACACAAACTGTATTCATTTAAACATGGCTTGGCCCATTTCTATCTAGCCTCTTCTCGGCTAACTCTCGTACCTGGACTAGCCCATTTCTAATAATTGTTTGTAGCACCCCAAGGTGCACTTACTGGGAAGATTCTAGCCTATGTCCATCCTGGGTCGGAGCTTCATCGCGTGTGCCTCAGAGAGCAGAGCTATCACATCTATCCGGGAGAGTGGAGCATGGCGTCTCTGAGCTCACTTCCTCTTCCTCCCAGCATTCTGTTCTGTTTACTCCTCCCACCTATGTTTTAACCTATCAGGGCCAAGCAGTTTCTTTATTGCTTAACCAATGAAATCAACAGATTGATATATGACACTCCCACATCACTTCCCCCTTTTCTGTTTAAACAAAAAAAGGGAAGGCTTTAACTTTAACATAGCAAAATTACATATAACAAAAGTTATCAAGTAAGAATTACAGTTACAATACTTATATCTACATTATCTTTTATCATAACAAAGGAAAACAGCTATAACTATCTATCTATTCTTCAACTGCATCAAAGACTCCAGAAAGATACAATATTACCTAAGCAAACAAGAACTTCTAAAATTCTAGAAATGACAGAGACATCTTGCTGCCTGTACAGTCACCCAAAGTTCTTTTGTACCGTTGGGGCATCTATCTTTGGCTTACAGGCCTATAGTTTCCAGCAGACATTTCCACGAGGCAGGAAATTTCAAAGTCAGTTTAGTCACTATCTGTTGTGTCCTGCAGAATGTCTTGCAGACTCCTTCATGAATCAGGAACCCTGAAAGATCATCTCACCTTTAGGCAAGTTCAGTAGTCCTCTCTCTGCGGGTTCTCTGTGTCCAGTTTATGTAATAGTCCAGGCAAGAGCAGTTTCTTGCCCAAATGGCTCTCAAACTCCATAAGGATCCTCTTCAATGCCCATCTTTCTCTTGAAGTAGATTGGTGCTGCCAGGAACAGAGTATCTCATTGTCATGAAAAACCCTAAGTTATTAAAACATTTAATAGCATATTCCATAGTCTTTGAAAGATATGAAGAATGCCGATCTAACTGAAATATATATCTATATATCTAGAAAATCTAACATGACTACAAACTTGACTATTATTAATGATTATCCATTAACAGCCTATATGCATTACATTTTTAAGTGAACTACACAATCACAATACCTTAATCAAGATCAGAAATACATATACATATAACAAAATTGACCTTAAATTTAAATCACTAAAGCAAAATCCATATCAATGTAAATTATTTATATCTATATCATATCCCCCTTTAAATGTAAAAGAACGTTTATAAACCATATTTGGGAACATGGGTGCAGTTTTTTCTCTCCAAACTGCTTCCTGCTGAATGGGGGCGTCATTAATTGGATTTTCATGGTATAACATGTGTGCTAGTTTCCCAGGGGTGACTCCCCAGGACCCCCTGATGTATGCACACATCTACATAGGCCACCCCGCCCACCGGACCCCCAACCCGGCTGTCACAGTTATAGGTGGGCCCAACAGTGGACTGGAACTAGGGTTGACTCTGGCTCCTTCCTGGCCCCTCCGAAGCGTTCATGAATATGCAGGGTGACTCTTCACCACACCACTGACGTGTGCACACATCTGCATGGCTCTCTGGCTCCCCCTCCCTTCCTCCTCCCTCCATGGTCCACACTCCACGTTCCCCCGCTCCCTCCCGCGGCTCCGGGAACCCCCAGATCGCCCCATCCTCATTCCCGGGAGACTAGCTGGTAGAGATGGAAGGACCAGAGCACAGGCTCTGCCCCCTCCACCCGCCCCGAGGTCCGAGCCGGATCCCTCCCTCACGGGCCCTCGATCGTGGCGGCGGGGGCGGGGAGGCAGGCGGCGGGGGCGGTCGGGGGTCCGCGGCAGGGGTCTCCCCGCCCCGTATCCCGCTTTTCTTGGCTTTCCCCACTCCCGGGAGCCACCGGAGGCGCGGTCCGGGATGGAAAAAAGGAAGTGGGGAATCCAGGGGCCCGGGGATCAAGGGAAACCGAGTTCTCTGGTTCCCTCGGCCCATTCACGGACTTCGGGCAAGATGGCTGCCTCCGGGAATCATGGGAGACGTAGTCCAACAGGGGGAACCGGAACCCCGAGCCTCGAGGAGCCCCGGGGATCGGCGCGGGGATAACCCATGCCCCGCCTCCGGCCCCCCATATGCGATCAGCGCCCAGGAGCTTGCTCTGGCAGGCGCTGGCAGTCACCAAGAGCCACAGAGACCCCGGTCCGAGACCCAGGGGCCGGGGATGTGGGTCCTGGCCGCGACCCCGACAACGGGCAGCCCTCCGCTGGCAAAGGGACGACCCCAGCCCCGCCCCTGAAGCGGCCACGCCCCCAAACCGGCCCCCCGCCCGTCCCGGGATGTGCCGAGCACCAGTGCCCGGTCTCCCGGGCCCCTATCAGGCCCCTGGCGACGCCCCGCACCCGTCCCCACCCACTCCTAGCGACGGACCGCCCCTAGCCACGCCCACAGCCCCAGCCCAGGCTGAAAGCCTAGCCTGGCTGGAACCCCAGGGTTGCTGGACCACTAGGGTGGCTGTAACCCTAGCCATGCCCTCCCCTAGCAACGCCCCACCCCTATCACCGCCCTCCCATGACAACGGGCCGCCCCTAGCCACGCCCCCAGCTCTAGCCTGGCCGGAATCCTAGCCTGCCTGGAACCCTAGCCACTCCCAACCCTAGCAACGCCCCACCCCTATCCCCGCCTTCCCCTGGATACTCCACCCCCAGCCACTCCCATTGTACTAGCCACGGCCTCTGGGGACCGCCCCTTAGGGTTACCCGGGCCTTAGGGTTACAACCAGGCTAGGGTTACAGGGATGCTAGGGTTGGTGTGTTGCTAGAGGTGGGGCATGTCTAGGGTTGGAGAGGAGCTAGTGGTGAGGAGGTGCTAGGGGTGGGGGAGTGGCTAGGGCTAGGGGTGGTCCTAGGGTCAGGGTAAGCCTCAGGGTTTGGACCGATGCTAGGGTGACCATCAGGGCCGAGGCCTGGGTGGCTGGCAGGCTAGGACCGGGCTTTCTGATTGGTCGAGGGAGGCCTGGATCCCCCCCCAGGCCCCTCCCAGAAGCTCATGAACATGCAGGGTGACTCCCAAGGACCCCCCTGACATGTGCATACATCTGTATAAGTCACCCCGCCCACCAGAGCAGAGCCCCACACGTACCAGTTGGGCATAGGCCCAAGGTCTATGGAGACTAGGGTTGACTCTGGCCCCTCCCAGACCCCTCCGAGGCGCTCATGAATATGCAGGGTGACTCCCCACCACACCCCTAACGTGTGCACACATCTGCATCGCTCTCCGGCTCCCCCCTCCCTCACTCCTCCCTCCACAGTCCCCGCTCCCTGTTCCCCTGCTCCCTCCCGCGGCCCCGGAAGCCCCCAGATCACCCGGTCCCCGTTCCCGGGAGACCAGCTGGGAGAGAAGGAAGGAACAGAGCCCAGGCTCCGCCCCCTCCGCCCGCCCCGCGGTCCCAGCCGGCTCCCTCCATCACGGGCCCTCGATCGCGGCGGTGGGGGCGGGGAGGCGGGCGGCGGGGGTGGTCGCGAGACCGCGGCGGGGTCTTCCCGCACCGTACCCAACTTTTCTAGGCTTTCCCCACTCCCGGGAGCCGCCGGAGGCGCGATCCGGGCTGGAAGGAAGCGGGAAAGCCAGAACCCTAGCCGGGCCGGAACCCTAGCCACTCCCACCCCTAGCAACGCCCCACCCCTACCCCCCGCCCTCCCCTGGCAACTGCACCCCCAGCCACTCACACAGCACTAGCCACGACCTCTGGGGACCGTCCCTTAGGGTTACACAGGCCTTAGGGTTACAGTCAGGCTAGGGTTGGGGCGTGGCTAGGGATGGGGCATGGCTAGGGTTGGGGAGGAGCTAGGGTTTGGGAGGTGCTAGGGGTGGGACAATGGCTAGGGCTAGGGGCGGTTCTAGGGTCAGGGCCACCCTTAGGGTCAGGACCGGTGCTAGGGTGACATTCAGGGCCGAGGCCTGAGTGGCTGGCAGGCTAGGACCGGGATTTCTGATTGGTCGAGGGAGGCCTGGATCCTCCGAGGCCCCTCCCAGGGGCTCTTTAATATGCAGGGTGACTCCCCAGGACTCCTTGACGTATGCATACATCTGCATAGGCCAACCCGCCCACCAGAGCAGAGCCCCACATAGCCCCGAGGGCTATGGAGACTAGGGTTGACTCTGGCCCCTCCCAGGCGCTCATGAATATGCAGGGTGACTCCCCACCCCACCCCACCCCTGACGTGTGCATACATCTGCACAGCTCCCCGGCTCCCCCTCTCTCCCTCCTCCCTCCACGGTCCCCGCTCCCCGTTCCCCCGCTCCCTCCTGCGGCCCTGGGAGCCCCGGATCACCCCGTCCCCGTTCCCAGGAGACCTGCTGGGAGAACAGGAAAAAACAGGGCTCAGGCTCCACCCCCTCCGGCCGCCCCGCGGTCCAAGCCGGCTCCCTCTCTCACGGGCCCTAGATCGCGGGGGTGGGGAGGTGAGCGGCGGAGGCGGTCGTCGGTCCGCCGCGGGGGACTCCCCGCCTCGTAGCCCTCTTTTCTTGGATTTTCACATTCTCAGGAGCCGCCGAAGGCGCGGTTCGGGCCGGAAAGAAGGAATCGGGGAAGCCAGGGGCCCGGGGAACATGGGAAACAGAGTTATCTGGTTCCTCGACCCATTCACGGACTACAGGTACTGCGGCCTGGAATCATGGGAGACGTAGTCCAACACCGGGAACCGGCACCCCGAGCCCCAGGGAGCCCTGGGGAGCAGTGCGGCCACCTACCCGCAACCAGTGTGGGCGCCCACAGGCGCGGACGCGCCGCGTGGGAAACCCACGCCCCGCCTGCAGCCACCCAGTCGCGATCAGCGCCCACGAGTTGCTCTGGCAGTTGCTGGCAGTCACAAAGAGCCACAGAATCCCCGGTCCGAGACCCGGGGGCCGAGGACGTGGGCCGTGGCAGTGCCCCCGGTAACGAGCAGCCCTCCACTGGCAAGGGGGCGACCCTAGCCCCACCCCTGAAGCGGCCACACCACAAAACCTGCACCTAGGCCGCCACGGGACGCGATGAGCCCAAGTGCCAGGTCTCCCGGGCCCCTAACGGGCTTCTGTCGATGCCCCGCACCCGTCCCCACCCACCCCTAGCGACGGACCGCCCCTAGCCACACCCATATCCCCAGCCCTGGCTGAAACCCTAGCCTGGCTGGAACCCCAGGGAGGCTGGAACACTAGGGTGGCTGTAACCTTAGCCACGCCCTCCCCTAGCAAAGCGCCACCCCTATCACCGCCCTCCTATGGCAACGGGCCGCCCCTAGCCACGCCCCCAGCTCTAGCCTGGCCAGAACACTAGTCTGGCCGGAACCCAAGCCTGGCTGGAACCCTAGCCTGGCTGGAACCCTAGCCACTCCCTCCTTTAGCAAAGCCCCACTCCTATCCCCGCCCTCCCCTGGCAACTCCACCCATAGCCACTCCCACAGCACTAGCCACACCCTCTGGAACCCGACCCTTAGGGTTGGTTACCTGGGTGCTGGGAGCTGATTTGAATGGCTGCCATTACAAGATGGCATTTGGCCCTGGCCTCGCTTGATAAATAACTCCATATTAAGGTATTAATTCTTCCACCAGAAAACAGGGTGAGTTGTTGTGATCTAGCTGCCCACACTCCCCCTGACCAGCAGGGGAACTTCCTTGTGGTCTGTAATTGACAAGGATGTTCCCCTGCTTTCTTTCTGGCAATGGGTCTCCAGAAAAGCAGTTAAAGTATCAAAGTATCAAAGGTTGCTAGGCAGACTCCCTATATAAGCAGCTACAGCTCAGAGCTCGGGGCCCCCTCGCTTTCTGCTCTCCCTATAACCAAGAGGCTCCAATAAAGCGTGATTTGGGAAGAATCCTCGTCTGGTGGCTGTTCCTTCCTGCTGGTCAGGGAGTTTGCCGCAACTGGTGCCGAAACCCGGGACACTGGGACAAGCTTTGGTACCGAGTGAGGGGCCAAAGAGGATTCAGAACCCGACACATGGAGTGGTGAGATCATGAGAAGAGCTCCGGTGTCGCAGGACAGATGGTGGCCCGTCAGGGTGTGCACCAGACAGTCCCCAGGTAAGGCTGGGGATCCATGACAAAAGTGGGTTTTCCGCTCTCGCCGGTAGAAGAAGTGGGGGTAATAGGGCCGCGACCAAAGTGGACGGTTTAAAGTCAGAGCCACGATCAAAGTGGACGGTTTTAAAATGAAACTAAAAAAAAGAATAGGATTTTAGAATGGGTGCTTCAGCATCACACCTGATTTTTTCTGGCTCTTAACAAGCTGTTACGGAGCGCTTTGGAAAGCTGAGAATGACACAGTTGCTTCTTGGTTTGCCGTCTCTGGCAATCTTAATGTGTCATCCTGGGATAGGCTTGGTAGAGAGCTGAAATCTTGTCACTAAACAAGGTACGCTAAGAAAAGGAGGTATATTCATTTGGTTCGAATTACCGAGGCCTCCGGAGTTTGCAATGGAATGTGAGCAGCTGCGGCTCCAAGGCCAAGGAGCTCTAAGCGGCTCCACAGCCAAGCAGCACTGAGGATCTGCAAAGCTGCAAACACCGGGATTTGCCTCAGGACATAGAAATTTATGGAGATGGATAAAGCTTGAAAAGACTAGAGTAAAGCATTTTTGTTTTCAGCCTTACCAGGAAAAAAGCTGGCTATTTTAAAATGCCGGTTTTCTGGGCCTTCCTGCCAGGGAAAACTCTGACTCTTTCAAGTAGGCAGTCTGGACTCTGGAGCTATGGATACATTGTTGCAGCTTGCTTCCAGACAAGAAAACGCCATAGGAGCTTTTGACTGTTGTTTATGGACACAGCATTACAGCTTACTTGCTGGCAAAGACCTTAAAACACCATAGAGTTATGGCAAAAAATTTCTCCATAAAGATTAAAGTTTTCAAAAAAAAAAAAAAAGGAAAAGTAAAAAGAAAAGAGAGTAGCCTGGGAGGCAGAGACAGACAGATCTCTGTGAGTTCAAATATAGCCTGGTTTACAGGGGGAATTCCAGGACAAAGATATACAGAGAACCTGTCTCAAAAAGCCAAAAGTTAAAAATAAAAGAAATAGAGGTTAAAATAAAGGCACAGAAAGATGGAAAATACACAGAGAATCTTGATACTGTATGTTATTATGCTCTCTTTGAATTATTTGAATGCTGAGGAAGGAGCAACAGCTGCTAAAAGATATTTGCTTATGGTTTGACAGAATATTGACTATTGATGTGGGAGTGTCATATATCAATCTGTTGA